CAAAATGTTAATCTATATCAGACAGATAGCTCCATGATGACTCGTCCTCTACCAATAATATCTCTGCGATGTGTGCTGTTCTTGCAAAGTGTGTCCTTGCTGATCGATCAGTAATCTTTAAACTCCCTGAGTGGGATCAATTTCTGTCAGAGATGAAGTCCTGTTTTACAGTTATTTCAATACTGAGAAGTTTTGTTTACTGTGAGGTTAAATCTAGTCATACCCTTCAGGCCAAAAACTGTGAATAAAAGCTCATCTGATAAGTACCATGAGGGACCACAAGCTTTTATGACATTACTGTCTTATCCTTTGAACCCTGTTCTGTCTCTGACATATTAGCACATATATTTGACAACCGTCTCCTATCAGGTTCCCTCTTTTTTTATTCCTGGAAATGTTTATTTCTGAATTTTACCACCTCACCCAAGTTTATTACGTTCACACTGCAGCCTGAAGTGAACTAAAATCACATTTTTTTGCCCATATGTGACCTATATCTGATCTTTCCATGAAAGTCTGAACAACACAGATCCGATATTTTCCAATGCGACCCAGGCCACTTGGCTCCTGAATCCGAAATAAATGTGATCTTTTCAAATGTGACCTGTGTCTGAACAGCCAGGTCGCATTCATCCGAGCTGAACGCAATTAGTAGCCGACAAAGGTCACTATTCTTGGTCTTGCCAGCAGAAGCAGCAACAAAAATAACAACCACTGCCATAATGAGGAGAGCAGTCTTAATTTTCAAGCATCTTGAACGGTTGAGTATTTAAGGTGGTGAAAGATCGTTAGATGCACTCCAGCGCTACCATCCATGCTTACTTCCATAAACACAGAGCACACTGGCTTTTAACAACATTACATCCTCTACTGCGCATCAGTGTTAGTTTCGTCAGCTTTATTTTATTTAGTCTTAGTCACATGACAAAAATACATTTTAGTCTTAATCATATTTAGTCATTGCCTTCCCGATTTAGTTTTAGTCTTAGTCTAAATGACCAGAGATGGGAAGTAACGAAGTACAAATACTTCGTTACTGTACTCAAGTAGATTGTTCTGATATTTTTACTTTACTTTACTACTTATTTTTATGGCGACTTTTTACTTCTACTCCTTACATTTTAAAAAATTGGCTCGTTACTTTAGTTTTGAATCATTTCAATGGAGTTACCGTTATTATTTTTCACGTCATCAATACCAAATTCAATCTAATTGGATGGGAATCTACGTTGCATTTGACGCACCACTGCAAGATGAATCGACAGATTCGGCGGTATTCATTGGCGGCAAATCATTGCAGCTTGGTGGCGGTGGCGTTAGCATAGTAGCATGGACGACGAGATGATTGAAAATGAACACAACGGAGATCTAGTCCTATTGGCAGACATCCATTTAAAATGTAGGCAACGGCATGAAAAAAGTGGTTTCTACTTTTACTTTTATACTTTAAGTAAATTTACAAGCCTGTACTTTGTTACTTTTACTTGAGTAAAGAAAGTTAATCAGTACTTACACTTTTACCAGAGAATTTTTAACACAAGTATCTGTACTTTTACTCACGTACGGAAAGTGAGTACTTTTGCCATCTCTGTAAATGACGAACATCAATTTTAGTCTAAGTCAAATTTTAGTCATTTTAGTCATCACTGTAAATAATAGAACTTCTCCACACACTGCTTTTTTTTACATATAAATCACACTGTACAGAATAAAAATTCTTCACACACAGCTTCTCTTTTTCTATTTTTTATTTATATAACACTGTGCAGAATAGAACTCCACACACTGATTCTCTTTTTAACGTACACTCACCGGCCACTTTATTAGATACCCCATGCTAGTAACGGGTTGGACCCCCTTTTGCCTTCAGAACTGCCTCAATTCTTGGTGGCATAGATTCAACAAGGTGCTGGAAGCATTCCTCAGGGAGTTTGGTCCATATTGACATGATGGCATCACACAGTTGCCGCAGATTTGTCGGCTGCACATCCATGATGCGAATCTCCCGTTCCACCACATCCCAAAGATGCTCTATTGGATTGAGATCTGGTGACTGTGGAGGCCATTTGAGTACAGTGAACTCATTGTCATGTTCAAGAAACCAGTCTGAGATGATTCCAGCTTTATGACATGGCGCATTATCCTGCTGAAAGTAGCCATCAGAAGTTGGGTACATTGTGGTCATAAAGGGATGGACATGGTCAGCAACAATACTCAGGTAGGCTGTGGCGTTGCAACGATGCTCAATTGGTACCAAGGGGCCCAAAGAGTGCCAAGAAAATATTCCCCACACCATGACACCACCACCACCAGCCTGAACCGTTGATACAAGGCAGGATGGATCCATGCTTTCATGTTGTAGACGCCAAATTCTGACCCTACCATCCGAATGTCGCAGCAGAAATCGAGACTCATCAGACCAGGCAACGTTTTTCCAATCTTCTTTTGTCCAATTTCCATGAGCTTGTGCAAATTGTAGCCTCAGTTTCCTGTTCTTAGCTGAAAGGAGTGGCACCCGGTGTGGTCTTCTGCTGCTGTAGCCCATCTGCCTCAAAGTTCCACGTACTGTGCATTCAGAGATGCTCTTCTGCCCACCTTGGTTGTAACGGGTGGTTATTTGAGTCACTGTTGCCCTTCTATCAGCTCCAACCAGTCTGGCCATTCTCCTCTGACCTCTGGCATCAACAAGGCATTTCCGCCCACAGAACTGCCGCTCACTGGATGTTTTTTCTTTTTCGGACCATTCTCTGTAAACCCTAGAGATGGTTGTGCGTGAAAATCCCAGTAGATCAGCAGTTTCTGAAATACTCAGACCAGCCCTTCTGGCACCAACAATCATGCCACTTTCAAAGTCACTCAAATCACCTTTCTTCCCCATACTGATGCTCGCTTTGAACTGCAGGAGATAGTCTTGACCATGTCTACATGCCTAAATGCACTGAGTTGCCGCCATGTGATTGGCTGCTTAGAAATTAAGTGTTAACAAGCAGTTGGACAGGTGTACCTAATAAAGTGGCCGGTGAGTGTATATCACATTGCACACATTGAAGCTTTTGTCGGCTTGTTTATGTCGACTTATGTTGGATACGTCGGCTTGTCATATCCACAAAGTCTTCATCCTCAATGGTCCTTGCAGGCAGACCAGAACACCCAATCCACTTTGCCATTGAGTTCTCCAGGGCTTTCTGCTCTTTGGAGTCAGGTTTGTACAATGGGGAGCTCCCAACATCTCTGCAACAACCTTCCCCAACCTCTGATCTTGCTGTGGTGTCACTGTGTCAGGAATCTAGTTGGGAGGAAGGAAGTCAAACTATAAAGTGCCTTGAGATGACATGTGTTGTGAATTGGCGCTACAGAAATAAACTAACTTGAATTGAATTGAGGTACACTTACAGTCACAAAAGACATGGTCATAAAAAAAACTGCTTTCTTAAACAAATAGGTTTTCAGTTCACTCTTAAAAACAACAACAGAATCAAGTAAGTGCAAGGAAAGTAGGCCGACGTGACCGCCTGAAAGGAGCGATCTCCCCTGGTCCTGGAACCAATTACGAGGGACCATGAGCAGGTTCTGGTCCTGAGACCTGAGCCTCCCAGAGGGGAGTATAAGGACACAACAAGTCTCTAATGTAGAAGGGAGCCTGACCGTGGAAGGCCCTGAAGGTCAGCACCAGGATTTTAAATTGGAACTGAAAATAGACTTGGAGCCAATGAAGAATTTTTAAAATCCACGTAATATGAGCCCTTCTTTTTGTATGAGTCAGTAACCTGAACCTGCTGAAGATGCGACGACTCCTTTTTGTTTAGGCATGATAATAGACTGTTACAGTAGTAGTAAACAGGAAAACACAAACGCATGGATAATCATTTCAGGATCATCTTGTCAGGATTCCTGTCTGGAGGTTTGAACCCACTTTCCCTCAAGAGATCATTTGAGCTTCACACTGAGCAAGGGATTCATCTCCACTACGACCCGTTCAAGTACCTCAGGAAATCTGAGTGGCAGTCAGCTTCTCCGTTCGCCTACAAACAAAAGCATTCTGGGTAAACCCTGTCCGCCCTCCACCGAATCAGACAAACACTGGAACTACCGCACACAGACTGGAGTCTAACAGTCAGCTACTTCTCTGGAAATGTGAGTTATCTCCCAAATTCTCCTCTTCAAGTTCGAGAATCAAATTTCCTACTGAGCCTGAACTAACCGCAGTGTCTTCCCCTCACCTTTCAGTTCCGGTTGAGCAGTGGTCAGAGCAACACTGGATTCTTCACAAACTCTTAAATAAACCTGTTAAACCTTTCCCTTGGTCTCTCTGCATGTGGGTCCGAGCTCTTGACAAACCATGACACATCTCTGGACACAATTGTTCTTAGTTTAGAGATTTTAAATACAGTTCCTTGTCAGTAGTTAGGTACTCTACGGACAATGTTTTGTCAAAAATAATGCCAAGGTTTCGAAGGCTTGGTTTAGCAGACAAACTCAAGTCGCCCAGATACTGGTGGACATGGAAACATGTCACAGGTTGGAAAATATTCCACTGCATGTTTTTTGGCAGTTTTACTCTAGTTTTTCTGTATGCTTGCTGTTGCCATTGGAATTTAATAGATACATAAATACAATTGGACATTGTTTTATAAAGGTTATAACAAACTGCAGTAAAACAAAATATGTTCTTATTTCATTTTTGTGTGAAAAGAAAACTCCTTTTGTGTAGTTAATTATTAAACAACAAAGATGGATGAAATACCCATCTTATTTTGACCATATCTGTTCTCTCAACAATTTCTAATGACAACAGCAATAATTCTTTACTGATGATAGATATTATCATATCACTGATGAGCCAAAGTTCATTTTGGCTTATCAGTGATATGATATGTACTTTGTTGCAAAATCTATATAACACCCTGACTAAGTAAATTATTGCCTTTATGTAGCATCATAACATCTTATCTTGATATACTCTAATAATCATTACATTTATGGTGCTGTTTGGGACATGTTGCTACAACTTTCGCTCTCTCTCTAATCACCTTTTTTTATATAAAAGCCCAGAGAGTTCTGCCACTTTTTGGATGGTTGATCTGGTCCCAAGGTGAGTAGATGTTAGAATTTTATATTTGCAGCTCAAACTGTCAATGAGCGAATAACCTAAAAATTCTGGTTTCTTTTTAGCGTACATTCATCAGAGTTTTGAAATATACAGACAACATGGCGAAGCTCATATTGCTAACAGGTAATGGTCAAAAAAACAGTTTAACTGTCATTCTGAGATACATAGTTCTGTTGAATTATTGATTTGATTTTTCTCCCCACTCCTCTTCTCCAAAGCCTTGTGCCTGGTGTTATTCCAGCTTGGTGAGCTTTGAACAATTTTTACCAACCAATTTCATTTATCTTTTATCATTATGATATATTGTTGAATTTTCTATTGCTCCTTTGCAGCACACAGCAACAGAATGGAGTGCTATTTCACTAACTGGTCTCAGTACAGGCCTGGCGATGGCAAATTCCTGCCACAAAATGTAGACCCCTTCCTGTGTACCTCTCTTATCTATGCCTTTTCCATCATCAATCATGCCAATGAGCTGGTTACCTATGAATGGAATGATGATGTTCTCTACAAGGCCTTCAATGACCTGAAGACAAAGTAAGTCACCATTGTAATGAACCTCCAGTCAGACATTAGAATAAACCACAAAGTACATACGAGAATGAAATATTAATGCATTCCCTGGAGGATTACTAACATTTTCTTAAAATATTCTGCTTTTTCCAGGAATCCCCATTTAAAGACTCTGCTGGCTGTTGGTGGCTGGAACTTTGGCTCAACTCAGTAAGTCATCATTTAAATTAAAGCCTTATCTAGAAGGACTTTCTTGCAAGAGATACATCAACATTATCTTCTAAACTCTTCATATTCTAAATCACTTTGAACAACTTAGCCTAAGTCCTTAAACTTATTTCCTACAGGTTTTCCATCATGGTCTCCACTCCAGAAAACCGCCAGAAGTTCATCCAATCTTCTATTAAATTCCTGAGGACTCATGGATTTGATGGACTGGATCTGGACTGGGAGTACCCAGGTTCACGTGGAAGTCCTCCTGAAGATAAGCAAAGGTTTACTCTTCTCTGCAGGGTGGGTTGAAATAAAGTGCTAGTTCAGTTATCTTTCCCCATGCAAAGATATTCACACACCAACCTTTTGGTGTGATTATTGCAGGAACTTGTTGCAGCTTATGCAGCAGAGGCTGCCGCCACGGGAAGACCTCAGCTCATGTTGACTGCTGCAGTGTCTGCTGGAAAAGGTACCATTGATGGTGGATATGAGATTGCTGAGATTGCCAAGTAAGTACTCTTTCAAGTTTCTTTCTCTCAGTAAAAATGAGAGCATATCTTTATTTTGGCTAAGGATTTTTCTTTACCCAGGGAACTGGATTTCATCAATGTTATGACCTACGACTTCCATGGAACTTGGGAACAGTTTTCTGGGCATAACAGCCCTCTGTACCGTGGATCTGAGGACTTTGGTGACCTCATCTATTTCAACACTGTAAGTGTCCCTGTGGAGATATTATACAGTTACGCTGAGGGTGTATTTTATTCATTTGGAGGTGCAGCCATGTTTCACTGCATGAATGGGTTTAACCCAGGGAACTTGGTTCTTCCCACCACTGTCAAACATGCATCAGGTTAATTCTCCCCTAATTTTTCCTTTAAGGTGTGAGAGGGTTTTCTTTTCAAATCGGTGTTCATTTGAAAAGATCTGTTCATGCTTAGCCAGGGCTAAGCATGAACAGATCCTGAATGAATGGATTGTTTAGGTAATAGTATTTCACCTTCCTTTTTAAACAACATGATAGGACTATGCCATGAAGTACTGGAGAGACAACGGCACCCCATCAGAGAAACTGAGAATGGGCTTTGCAGCTTATGGTCGTACCTTCCGTCTGACATCATCAAATACAGGTGTTGGAGCCCCAGCTAGCGGACCTGCATCAGCCGGACCATACACCCGGGAAGCAGGATTCTGGTCCTACTATGAGGTAGGAAGCACTCTTTGGATAATAATCATGTATTTTGCATTATTAGTATCTGATAATATTGTCTATTAACAATATGGAAAATGTATCTTCATAATATACATTTATATAGACCTGACAATGTTTTTTATTTAATGTTTTATTGTTTAGATCTGCAACTTCCTGAAAGATACCACCGTCCAGTGGATCGATGACCAGAAAGTTCCCTATGCAACTAAAAATAATGAGTGGGTAGGATTTGACAACAAGGAGAGCTACAAAATCAAGGTATTTAGGGTTTTTCTGTGTCAGTATGTTACCTACATACGTATGAGGTGATTCCAGCATTCTCATTATTGTTGTCACATCAGGTCAGCTACCTGCAGGAGCAGAAGTTTGGTGGTGCTTTTGTATGGGCTCTTGACTTAGATGACTTCTCTGGAAAATTCTGTGGAGAAGGCAGCCACCCCCTGCTGTCTCATCTTCGCAGTCTTCTGGATATTGGTAGAGCATGAATTTTGTCCCATAATGCAAATATTGTGTGTAGGTTTCTTACCAGTAGATAAGAAATACATTTTTCTATTTATCACAGTAACCTCTATAACCCATTCTTTCTGTTTTATATGTATTCAGAGCTTCCACCACTGCCCTCAACCACAACCCCTAAACCTGGTGCGAGCACAACGTCTCCAACCACAACCACCACCACCACTGCTCATGCCCCAGGACCTGGATTCTGCAATGGCAAACCAGATGGACTGTACGCCAACCCAGACGACAGGACAAGTTTCTACATGTGTGCTGGAGGCATCACTCATGTGAGGTCCTGCGGCACTGGATCTGTCTTTGATGATAAATGCAAGTGCTGCGTTTGGCCTTGAGCTTTTCATGGTACTGATGTAAAATACAGGTGATACCAAGAATGAAAAAGATTTAAAAGACATCTCAATTGTTTAAATAATTATGCGACACTGAGTGCCATTACTTATTACAGAAAAATCTGAAATGCTGGTGAAGCATGGGGCAAAAGAACACACACCAGCAAAAAGAAATGACTAATGTTCTCCTTAAAAGCTTTCAATGTACGTTGTTGGAAATAAAGTAATAAAACACTGTCATCGTGTGAGTTTAAAATATGTGAGACTGTAAACTTACATTTTGAACATTTGGTAAACAGAGTGGAAAGTTTTCATTTTGATTTATTAATTGATTTTATTACACTCCTAGTGGAGAAATTTACTCTTTCTTAAACTTTATTCCAGTTGTGAAGTACAGTGGTGGCAGCATATTGCTATTTGTATGTAGATGTCCTCGGGGAATTAACACATGTTGAAATACAGTGGGGCAAAAAAGTATTTAGTCAGCCACCAATAGTGCAAGTTCTCCCACTTAAAAAGACGAGAGAGGCCGGTAATTTTCATCATAGATATACCTCAACTATGAGAGACAAAATGAGAAAAAAAATCCAGAAAATCACATTGTCTGATTTTTAAAGAATTCATTTGCAAAATATGGTGGAAAATAAGTATTTGGTCAATAACAAAAGTTCATCTCAATACTTATATACTTATATACAATACTTAATACTGTTATATACCCTTTGTTGGCAATGACAGAGATCAAACGTTTTCTGTAAGTCTTCACAAGGTTTTCACACACTGTTGCTGGTATTTTGGCCCATTCCTCCATGCAGATCTCCTCTAGAGCAGTGATGTTCTGGGGCTGTCGCTGGGCAACACGGACTTTCAACTCCCTCCAAAGATTTTCTATGGGGTTGAGATCTGGAGACTGACTAGGCCACTCCAGGACCTTGAAATGCTTCTTACGAAGCCACTCCTTCGTTACTCGGGCGGTGTGTTTGGGATCATTGTCATGCTGAAAGACCCAGCCACGTTTCATCTTCAATGCCCTTGCTGATGGAAGGAGGTTTTCACTCAAAATTTGATGATACATGGCCCCATTCATTCTTTCCTTCACACGGATCAGTCATCCTGGTCCCTTAGCAGAAAAACAGCCCCAAAGCATGATGTTTCCACCCCCATGCTTCACTGTAGGTATGGTGTTCTTTGGATGCAACTCAGCATTCTCTCTCCTCCAGACACGACGAGTAGAGTTTTTACCAAAAAGTTGTATTTTGGTTTCATCTGACCATATGATATTCTCCCAGTCATGGTCTGGATCATCCAAATGCTCTCTAGCAAACTTGAGACGGGCCTTGACATGTACTGGCTTAAGCAGGGGGACACGTCTGGCACTGCAGGATTTGAGTCCCTGGCGGCGTAGTGTGTTACTGATGGTAGCCTTTGTTACTTTGGTCCCAGCTCTCTGCAGGTCATTCACTAGGTCCCCCCGTGTGGTTCTGGGATTTTTACTCACCGTTCTTGTGATCATTTTGACCCCACGGGGTGAGATCTTGCGTGGAGCCCCAGATCGAGGAAGATTATCAGTGGTCTTGTATGTTTTCCATTTTCTAATAATTGATCCCACAGTTCATTTCTTCACACCAAGCTGTTTACCTATTGCAGATTCAGACTTCCCAGCCTGGTGCAGGTCTATCATTTGGTTTCGGGTGTCCTTTGACAGCTCTCTAGTTTTGGCCATGGTGGAGTTTAGAGTGTGACTGTTTGAGGTTGTGGACAGACTGCTGCTTATTTACACATTTTCTTGTTGATTTCTTTCTTTCTGTTGGCGCTGTCATCGTAAGGGCAGGGAACAGTCGGAGAATAACCGCACGCTACTACATCAATTTGAGTTTCCACAAGGTGCACGTCACAGGCAACCTTTCTTTAATTTGTCACACAACAACATTGCCCAGGTTCCACAATTTATAGTCACACCCATGAATGACATCATTAAAGAGCACTCATTATCAACACACATGTGAACACCCCCACTTGCTCTTGCACTATACAATCGTCATTCAAAATTACTATTTTTTTTTTTGTTTTGAACATTTAAAACAAGTTATTTTACATTCCAAACGTATAATGCCTACATTTTCCCAGTTTTAACTTTGTGGCAGGTTTGGTAAAAACGTCTGCAACCATATCTGCTGTTGAGCAGTACACAATGTTTATTTTTCCATCATAAAGTGCAGATATGACAAAATGATACTTGATATCAACATGTTTATGATTCTCTAATGGATAGTGTTAAAGACATGCTAAAAATGAGAGAAAGGGGGACGCTTAAACATTTTTTGGGCATTGATTTTACACAGACAGATGGAGAAATAAAAGTTAACCATTAAAGGCACATAATTAAAATACTGGAGAAATTTGGTATGTCTGAATGTCGTACTAGATGCACTCCATGTAAGCAGTAGTTAAACTTTGAAAGTGACAGTGACCTTGTAGACCTAAGATTGTATCGTGAGCTTGTAGGAAGCTTAAAGGAATAGTACACCCAAAACATGATTAGCCTTCATTTGCTACTCACCGTCATGCTGAACAACAGAATGTTAGAATGTTTTTAGAGCATAAACAGTAGTGTATAGGATTTCCTAAAAGCGCGCGCCTGCGAGTTCACGACTCTACGGAAACCGCGGCAGACCAAACCAGATGAAAGTGTGCATTCAGCTCGGCAAAGAACTCATGCTCTTCCTCAACACTGAAGTCCTCAGACATTTTTCTTTCGTTGTTTCTTTCTTTGCACAGGTAAACAGCACATTTCTTCTTCTACGCTTGCATTATTGGCAGAGCAGACGCTGAATGCGCACTTTCATCTGGTTTGGTCTGCCGCGGTTTCCTTAGACTCGTGAACGCGCTTTTAGGAAGTCCTATACACTACTGTTTATGCTCTAAAAACATTCGAAATGACTTCGTTTCGAGTAAATTATGGACGCTACCCACTCAGGACACTTGGAATACATTGGACGAGCAGTATGGAGGAATATTGACACGTTTTTTTGTGGACTTTTATGGACCTTTCTGCCTCGGGCGCCATAGACCTCCATTATTTGAATGTCAGCAGACAGCAAGAAGCCTCCCAGATCTCCAGATGCATTTGAGATATCAAAAAAGTACTCCAGAGTGTTGTTCAGCATGGGGGGGGAGTAGAAAATGAAGGCTAATCATGTTTTGGGTGTACTATTCCTTTAATGTATCTCATGACGTTGTTAAATGAGGAAGTTATGTCCCCTAAAAAGGCAGTTGCGCCTCGTTGCTTACTCACCCGTTCTTTTCCTGGGAGCAAGTTATTTACTACTCTTAACTCAAACTGGGTAAAACCATATAAAAAGGACTATAAAAACAGGAGTAAAAAATAACAAGAGTTTATTCCAGATCAGGTCGTTACAGGACAGAGAAAATGCTTGGAGCTTGCACAGCTGTGGGCTCAGAAATCACGTCCGCGAGCGTCCGGCAAAGATTGAGCCCCGAAGAAGGTCGGCTTCTCCTTCTTATAGCTCATGAGTCCATGTGTTGGATCATGTCGATGTTTAGATATCCGTATCAGAAACTGACACGCCATCCATGCCCTGACCTGTATGCATCTTGCCTCTATGCCCAAGATTGCAGCTACATCTCCTCTATCAGTCCGGCTCAAAGATGTGCCCATATCCTGTATATCTTTAAAAGACAAGAAGGCTGTCCTATTTAGATGACCTATGTACACAAAGTGACATTCTGGTTATGTCTACATTTGCATTGTTTCTCAGTTTAACCAGAATGTTGGTCACCTTATGAGCATGTGCATTAAAGAAGAACTTAGTCTAAGGTCTCTCAGGTGACAGTATGTATCTGTGACTTTTAAAATGTATGCCGCGAAGAAGAGAATAAAATTCAAAATAAGAAAATGGGGAAAAAAAGAACTTTGTAACTGTCCATATAATATTCCTATAAGACCAGTGGCCAAACCAGGCAAACAAAATTATAGATTGGTACTGTACATCATTTAATGAAAATAAATGCCTCATTGAGAACCTCTGGCTATGAAACACCTAAACCTTATAATATGCAGTCAAATCTAGGACCAGAATATAAATGGTTTATCACTCTGGATCGTAATAATACCTCATGTTGTATTCGCATTGCACCAGCCTACCAGCAACTTACACCAGGTTGCCACAGCGACTTAATGACAGCCCATCCCTTTATATAAATGTTTTTCAGGTTTTACTTACCTTTTTCCATAGTGATCTTTCGGAACCCTGTTGTATTTTTCAATATGTTGATGATATTCTCAGGAAAAAGCTGCTGCTACACTCACACAGATAGTTGGTTAAGCACTCAAGGCTTTTAAGTATCCAGGGACGAGATGCAGCTTTGGAGGCCGCATGCTGTTTTTCTGGGCAGTTATTACAACACAGGGTGTAGGCATAACAAGAAAAACACCGGAAACCTATTTTAAATTATCCATAGTTGAACATGTGATGTCATTTTTAGGAATGGAAAATTTTAGCAGGAACTATGTTACAAATTATGCTGCTTTTGTAGCTCGTTTGATAATAATCACAACTAATATGAGTACTACACATTGGTATGCTCCGCTGACGGACAGCAGAAACCAAAGAAGCCTTTGTATGCTTGAAACAGTTGTTAAATCAGAATTCTGAGTAGGCCTCTCCTGACTTAGGGAGGATGTTTTATTTGGATGTTAAAGGAAAAGTCCGGTCAGCAAGGAATAATCAGGGGATCATTATTTATACTTAAAATTAATGCGTTTGCTGTACATTTTTTTAATGAATTTAGCATTAATCAGTAAAAAAAATAAAAACTATAATTTTCCTTGTGAGCGGCCATCTTTGCCCAAATCTAGTAGCCCCTCCCTCCTGCCATCTTCCAGCAGTGACGTCACGTTGCGGTAAGCCTAGCGCCATTCTCCCCGCTTTCCAAGCTAAATCAATGGGAACTACTAGACACATCTGCAATCAACAACAATTATTGAAGATTTCCAGAGGACTTCACCATTGAAATTCACCAGAGCTATAGTGAAACTGACAATGCCCACGTGCATGGCAGCTGGATGCTGGAATACATCGGGTAAAAGTGAAAAAAAGAGTTATTCCACCTTTCTGATTCCTGATCCTCCACGGACGGGTTGGTCGTTGGATCGCCAACTTGAAGAGGGAGGATTTGCCATCGAACTTCTGGCCAGAGAAAAAACCCGTAATATGTAG